GGGAAGCCTTTAAGTAGAATAAGAGAGTGATAAACCTCTGCCCTTTTTCTGTTTTAGCATATAACATGGGTGTCAAACTCGCCACGTGACGTGTGGTGACTTATCCTGATTTTTTTCCCCATTGCTGGAGCTGGGGTGGGCGTGGTTTTGGCATGACGAATCTGGCCTGCAAGCCGCCAGAGTGATACCCCTGGCATATAACATTTAGATAAATGCAAGTTGTCCTCATTTAGCAACTGCTTGTTCAGCAACTTTTCAAACTTGCAACAGTGGTAGTTACAACTAGTTCTCAAAGTTCCAGCCATTACAGTGACCCCTTGGCATGTGATCATGATCCAGGAACTTGATTTCTGACCATTGCAATATCTGGTGGTCATACCATCGTGATTTGCAAGCTTCCCTGTTGGCTTCCCACAAGCAAAATCAATGGGGAAGCTGGCCGGAAGTTGGAAGTTGCAATCAGGTGAGGTCCTCACTTAACAATCTGCACTTAATGACATTACTTCCTTAAGTAGGAAACAAGATGGTACCCTACTCCCATTCCCTGTAAGAAGCCAACTGAAGCAACATTTCCTGGAATTAATAGATGACCATTTGATGTTGTACGATCATATGATCAGTACAAGAAATACTATAAAAAAAGTCATTTCAGCAGACTGCCCCATGTTACTTTGAGTATAGGAGGCTTTTTTATTGTTAAAAGAAGAAAATGAAGTGAAAAATAGAGTTTTAAAACAAAGTTTTTAAAAAGTGCAGAAATCTATCTAAATATACCATAAGGGCAAAATACTAGTATAATATATAGGCATCTAGAGGAAGTACAGTAGTACAATGGGCACAAGAGAGACCATGGATGGCACAGGTAGTTTGCAAATTTGATACCATTCTGATTCCTGCAACATTTGTCCTATTATTCTGCTTAATGGTAGGATCAACCCTTATTCCCCCTTATGAATCTTTTCCTCAGCTACAAGGCTTAGATGTTTTCCTTTTCAGGAACATAAACATATAGCACCTGAATATAAAATTTGTGCCAAGAATAAAGGAGAATCTATTTTAAATACCTCTTTGCTAAACATAAAGCTGTATCTTGGCAGTACATTATGAGAATTTACTTTACACCATCATTATCACTGGAATAAAATGATAGTTACATTTTTCCTGGTCTAAAAAAAACCTTAGTTAACCCTTTTATGTTAATGACTAATGGAAAAAAAAAAACACCCTTTCCTTTTTGACTTGACCTCAATTTAGGAACTAAATATTCTAGATTCAAATGCAGTTTGATACATTGGAATAAATTATTGGTGTGCTGCCAGAGAAATACAGGATGTCTAATTAATAGCACACTTTTCCATTTCAGAAATACAACACCAAATGTATTCTAATGCAGATGCACAGATGATTTTACAGTGCATTTGTGTTGTACCTGGGTTTTCCAGTAGGCAGTTTTAAAACTTGGCAAATGAATGCAGAGAATTAGTTGAATTGATTTTAACCATGCATTGGGCAACAGAAATTGGAATTAAAGGTATCCAATCAATGTGGTATAGTGCAGTCATGTAAGCAATGTTGTACAACTGATCAATAAAGCTGCCCCCAATGATCTTTAATCATATTGGACTAATTTATGAGAACAATGTGAGCATTACAAGATTTCTTCTCTGAGAAATATTAAATCCTACACACTTGGCAAGAATCTCACTTGTAGAATTGTTGATTCTTGTTGGCTGTTACAGTGACAGGAACAAAGCAGCAGCAATAATTCATGGAGAACCAGCTTTCAGGGAGAACTAGCTTCTGTAAAGTTTTCCCATCAGTTGGAAACAATCTCTGCTTTCACCCAGATTATTTAGGACAGTTTCCTAACAATGGACCACCATTCTTTTATCTTCCAGCCTGCTCAGGAAAGTAGTTTTCCAACTAGAGATGGCTAGAAGAGAATATTTGTAGATGAGATCATCCCCAAGTTTTGCTCTTAGTTGGAGAGGCTCGAATCTTCACTCAGATGCAGGGTGATACAGCTTGTTGTGCTCAGAGAAGTTATTATCAAGAATCAAGGATCAGATTTTAACTATGCATAGTGTCAGTGTTAAGATAATGTTATACTTAATGGTATCCATGATCTTTTGTTGGTATCTAAGACCTTCCTTAATTCAATATCTGTAAGCTGTTGTACAATGACACCCAAAATTCTGACCTAAAAGTTTTGGAATATAATAGAAAACGGGAGAAATTGATTTAAGAAAATATATCTTCACATTTTTTCTGAAAAATGTTATTGCAGAATAATATTCTTTTCAGTATTAATCATATCTTTGCTATATGTTTCTCTTCCCAAGTCACATTAATTTTACTACTTTCATGAGTCAAATTTGAATCAGTTTTTGTCTTTGCTACCAAACAGAAGTCCAAACTCCATTTTTTTTTTAAAAAAAAAATGTCCTGTTTGTAAATCAGCTTCTTGGATTATTATACCAATGTGATCTCCACATTTTTAATAGTTCTTGCATCAGGCTGTTTTTACATTTGACTAATCTGCCGCAGCTGCTCTCTCTAAATCAAGTTATTAAAAGTTGTTAAGCTGCAGTAATGCCACAAATTGCTTAGATGTGCTCCTAAATCAGGTAGCTGGTTTACTAGGTTTTTGTAAACAAGGATTTTACAAAATGTTTTTCTTTCCTATATTGTTGAGACAAGGTACTAAACAAATGATAGTGCCAGATTGACCCCTTGTGTTCAGCATTATAGCCTATTCTGTTGCAAACTACCTATATGGGTGACATATTTTATTCTCTATATATATAATATAAACTTATCTATTAAGTATACAACTGATTCTGAATCATAGTTATCTACTTAAATAGATAGAATGTTTAGAAAAGGCATTTGAGGATGCTCTTATACTCCCCTTTCCACACTTCTCACAGTCATAATTAGATAAACTACAATGATTTTCTATTTGTCTGGGTCCCTATATTTGATGCCACTCAGTAAAATTTATGGCTACCAACCCTTTCTATAGACAAACTAGGAAATGGAAATAGATATGTGTGCCACCAAAGCAGGAAATATATATTGCCAACCAAGGTGTGAATTGCGTGGTCCTCTCTGCAGGCTGAAACCAGGATCACCCTTTTCAAAGCCTTCAGAAGAATTCAGAAAGACTAAAAGCATTTGCAGTGGAGATGTGCTTTCTTCATCTATATATTCTTGCTCTTCTGTCTAGAAGATGGCAACTAAATGGTGATGTGGTGGCACTCTTACAGCCGGAGTTGGGTGTCACAATGCCTTCTGGTATTTTATTGAATTAACCACTCAAGTGTCCTTCCCTCAAAGAAATCCTGTCAGTTGAAGAATAGGGATCTGCATCTTTCAGCTGCTCCAGCCAAGATGTCAGGTACCAAAAATAATATCTGGGAATTGATTGGAGCTACACATATTTGCTACTTGCTTTATTTAACGTGTAACTATTATGCACTGATTATGGAGAGAGATTAATAGTAATAATAATAATAATAAAGTTGGAAGGGATCTTGGAGGTCATCTAGTCCAACCCCCTGCTCAGGCAGGAAACCCTATACCATTTCGGACAAATGGCTGTCCAGTTTCTTCTTAAAAACTTCCAGTGTTGGCGCATTCACCACTTCTGGAGGCAGGTTGTTCCACTGGTTAATTGTTCTAACTGTCAGGAAGTTTCTCCTTAGTTCTAGGTTGCTTCTCTCTTTGGTTAGTTTCCACCAGTTGCTTCTTGTCCTGCCTTCAGGCGCCTTGGAAAATAGCTTGACTCCCTCTTCTTTGTGGCAGCCCCTGAGATAAAACTAACACCATTGGTACAAAACATCAATATGATATGCTCTTAAGACATGATGATGGTAGGGATAGTGATATTATTTTCAATCTATGTTACAACCTTAAGACCATTTTTTTTCTCTTTTCAATCCATTTATCACGGACCATTTATTGTGGCACCTTTCATGCAGTTGCACATGAGGGATTCAAGTACACCGCAAAAAGCATGGTGCCATAAGGAGAGTCACTGTGAAAAGAATAACCTAATTAAAATTGTGTGACTAATCTCTAATGTCTAATTGAGAAGTATGTATCTGGAACTTGATAAATTTGTTTTTGGCAGTCTCATGAGTCATCATTTTCCAACAAAATAAGTTACCACCACAAGAATCATGGCACTGCTTATGGCTTCTGGCTTACAAGAAATGCATGAATTCTTCTACCACCAAATTAAACATGAAAAATATTATCATACTTACAATCTGTAACCTTTTAAGCTGTGTATAGCTATCATGCTGTTTTGAGCACAGTTTGTTCAAAATAAATACTTTTTGTCAAATCTTCTACCTCTCCCTTTAATTTTAAAGGATGGAGAAATCCTTACAGTACCTCCATTTATTTGTCAGTCACTTTTTTACTGAATGAAACAACATGTGTACATTGTTTGGATTCCACAGGTTTATAGATTTCTCTAATCAATGCTGTAACAGGAAATGTAGATATCCCAGACAGGGAGACTGATTACTTCTTTCCAGTCAAATAAGCCCATTACCTGTCCTTCTGTGATTTAGGAAAACATTATCAACAACAAATGTTTATTAGGCCTTTACATGGCCTTCAAAACACCTAAAATTATTGATGACTAAAAAGTAGGCAAAAATACAACTTCATTAAATATTAAACAGCACAAATAATAGTGGAATCGTTAAGATTTCTGCTAATTATCAGTAGTAAAATTGGGCAATATGGAAGGATACCACAGAGAACAGAAGTAACTAATAAGAATTATGTTCTCTACCAGGGCAGTTTGTTAAATTGGGATAGATGAATGGCTTACAAGATTCCCTGCAAAGAACACAATAAAGGTGTTTGTGACTTAGAGACTCCGCAGAATTGCAGGGCAGCACTGATTGTTATGGGTATTATGTTTACCTTATATGCAGGTCTATCATTCATCTCTTATATTTGTTTCCTGTGTCACATTGCTACTCTATGATTCATCTCTATTGTTCCTGTAATACATTTCCTGTTCCTATTGTATTCTCATTCTCTAAAAAAGATGGCTTCTGCACAGTGATGGCTTGTATTGTATTTACTTACTCCACATGAAACATGATGAAGTTACCTAGTTGGGTACTGAAATGTCTGCAAGAAAACAAAATCAGAAAGGACAAAAGTCCCCACAGAGTTTTCTCCATATAGGTAGGTAGGTACTTGAAAATACTTTTCCTGGCAAAAATATGAAAATAATTTTCCAGTTTAGATGTTTCATTGAAAAATTCATGGTTCTGGTGGCTAATTTTTACAAATAAGTCAATGTGGCAAATATATCCAATATACTTTCTTCCTCTTATTTTCCCCACAACAATCCTGTGAGATAGGTTGGGGGGGGGGAGAGAAAAGACTTTATTCTATAGAACAAGATTACCTTAGTTACTTTTTATATTTTAGTTATTTATGTGAGGTACTTTGATACAGATATGCAGAATAACCATGTAATCGTATCAGAAATGGAGAAAGACTCAAAAGTCATACAAAGTAATAATGGAATGATAGCCAAGCTCCTTCAGGAAGAACTATACATGGAAATTATATTGTACCAGAACATTTCTGAGTTGTTAGTAACTCTGTCTTGCTGGGTTGCAGATATGGTCTGCTTTGGGGCATCACATGTAAATCTGGGAATCATAAAGATAAAAATGGCAACTACCTCCAAACTGACAGATAACTTTTCCTAGCTGTTTCAAGCCCTGGAACTGAAATACTCCATTCTTATTTCCCAGCCACATCAACCAGAACTCCCTGCTCAGGAAGAAAAGCAGCTATTACAAAATACTGCCCCCCCCAAATGCAAATCCTTGCAGTCAGCCCAAAGGAATATTACAACTGATAGTAATGAATACTGGTGAAAGATGTAGCAGCACAAGTAGCATTACTCTCTAAATCTGGTCACAAGACCCTTTTTCCTTCTCTTTTTTTATAATATGCAGTAAATCAAGTATTCTGGGCAATATGAGCAACTGTATGCAGTTTTCATCCATTTTATTGGTTCAAATAAAGGTATCACTATTATTTTGCATAGTTTTCTATAGGTATTGGAAATGCTTTAGTCCAGTGATGGCAAACCTATGGCATGCGTGCCAGAGGCGGCACTCAGAGCCCTGTCTGTGGGCACGTGTGCCATGCCCCGGAGATGGCGAGGGACTGGCCCCCGCCACCCTGGCCCCACCCACCCAGTCTGCCATGACCACTGTAGCCACATCCACCCGGCACCCGGTGATAAATAAGTGCGTTTTGGGTTGCAGTTTGGGCACTGAGTCTCTAAAAGGTTTGCCACCACTGCTTTAGTCTCTTGAAAATGTCACAGGAAGTAAGTTTGGATATTTCTTTTTTTTTTTAATTTTATTTATAATACAGTTAAAAAGAAACAAACATTGGATTTAACGTGACATTCCAGTATATACATTCTTATCAGATTATTCCACTTTTTACAATCAATTCTTCATCTCTACATATACATCTAAGTTTATATACAATGCTTATTCTAAAATAACATACATTTCTATCTTAACATTCATCTTTAATCCCAACCGTCCTCTTCAAATTCCTCCAGCAGTAAAATTTAAAGTTTGGATATTTCTAACTTTGGTTCATATTGGGTTCCTCACAGTGCTGGTTTCTGTTTTTCTTTTTGAAAATGATTGTCACTGATGGTTAAAGAAGAAAAGGCTTAAGTGTCTGAGTGCATCTTGGAGAACACAATTCATTTTTAAGCATTATGAGCAAAGAGCATATAGGCAGAATTCCTGCTGTCATAAACTCACTGAAGCAGAGAAGAGGAAGGGGGCCCATTCCTTTTATCCTCATCTACTTTTCCTTGCTTAGAACAACCTAGCAAAAAAAGCTCTGAACTACTAAGTACTGTGGTTTTCAGCAACAACAACAACAACAACAACAACAACAACAATAATAATAGAGTTGGAAGAGACCTTGGAGGTCTTCTAGTCCAACCCCCTGCTCAGGCAGGAAACCCTACCCCATTTCAAACAAAAGTTGTTGCATAACTGAACAAATTACACAGACACTGAAGCAGGAGTCATAAAAGAAGGGATATGGAGAAGGGAAAAGTCACACATTTGTCCACACATTCATGAGTAAAAAAAAAAGTTTCAAAAAAGAATATTTGCAGCTCAGAGTTAAAATGTGGGGTCCTTGGTGCTCTCTGAGCTTGGTTGTTTTCTTGTAGATGTTTCATTATCCAAACTAGGTAACATCATGTTACCCAAACTAGGTAATGCTAACAGGGCAAGCTACTAGAATATAAACTGAGAGCAAACCCTACCCCTTACCAGTACTGATGGTATTACCTAGTTTGGGTAATGAAACAACTTCAAGAAAACAACCAAGCCCAGAGAGCACCAGAGACCTCTCTCTCAAAAGAAAGTTTGCATGGGACAGAAGAACCACATAAGGATCCTAAGACTTAAAACAGTTCCTTTAGTGACTGTTCAAAGTTACAATGGCACTGAAAAAAAGTGACTTGTGACCATTTTTCACACTTACAACCTTTGTGGTATCCCAAATGTGATAGAAAAATTAAGCTGGTTGGCAACTGGTTCTCACTTATGACTGTTGCTTGTGATCACCTTTTGCGACCTTTTGACAAGCAAAATCAACCGGGAAGCCAGATTCACTTAATAACTGTGTTACCAACTTATCAACTACAGTGATTCATTTAGCAACTGTGGCAAGAAAGGTTATAAAATGGGGCAAAATTCACTTAACAAACGCCTCATTTAACAATGGAAACTTTGGGCTCATTTGTGGTTGTAAGTTGAGGACCACCTGTATCAAAGTTCAGCTGATTGCCAATTCAATTCAGCTAGTTCATCTTGGCTTTTTTCTTGGTGGGAAAACAGTGTACGGCCCCTTTTTTTACACAGATAGAGTCCCAGAATTCCTGGGCATTCATCTAAATTACTTGATTTACAGGATTTTGGCATTCTTGTTCCAGTTCTTGAGTGAATTGCGTGAATCTTCTGGGTGGCATCTGTGAAGGAAAAAAAAATGCCACTACTATTTCTGTGGTGCTTTCCCCCCCCCCCTTATTCTCTTGTTTCATTAAAGTGAAGGCAAGGGACCTTTGGCTTTTCTGTGACAGCAAGTTCAGGGACAGCCAAAGTGCTTTGTCTCTTTTTGTAAGTTAAGCTCCTCTTTTAACATTCTCTTATTCGTCTTCTTTTGTCTATTGTCTCAGAGCACTTTCACAAATCCATGGTTTGCCACCTCTCCCCTTTCCAATGCAGAACATCTGAGTAAGGGTATTTCATTTTTTTAGATCATGAGAGCAAAAAGACCAGATTACTGATCAGCTAAGGAGCAAAAGAGGCAAATGTTTATTTTTTATTCTATTTTGCATGAAGAAGACTAGACAAGAGCTGGTTGTTTCTTTCTTTTGAAAATCAAAATTATGCCTATTTGTTAGAAATGGCTCTGTCAAGTTCACAATGCCTGAAAGTTTGATCTAACAACCTATTGTGATTTCCCAAGCTGGTCAGCTGGAAACATTGGACACTGAGTTCTTGAATTTTGCAAAGAAGAGTTGAATTATGCGGCTTCTGATTCAGCTGAAGAAAAATTAGAATTATTGAATGAATTCAAGCAAACATGCTTAAATTGTGTAGTGCAATTTTAATGCATTTCTATCCAAGAAAAATTAATGTATGCATTTAACAATTATATTTTAAGTGAAACCATTATTAGTTTGCAAAACAATTGTTTTAAGACAAACTGGTTTAGTAAGTGTAATCCAGTTTTAAACCCATTGGCTGAAATCACTAGACCAACTAAACCAAGTCATATGGCCTAGGAAAGAGTAAAATATGTGAATATCAAATATAAGTTTTCTGTTCCATAGAAAATTTATTAAATGAAAAAAATCAGTATTTTTTTCAGCTATTGGTGTTGAAATGAAGCTACTACACTTTATGCTAGATTAGTTCTCTGACAGTATATTCTGATGACAGTAACTATACTCATGAACTTACATGCTAGTTCATTGCTAGTGTCTAAGGAACCAGAATCTCTTTCTCATCCCTTACCTTAGCTCTGAATATTAAAGCAAAGGTTACCTTTCAAACTCCCTTAATAGTATAGTAGTTGATCATTTATATTATCTTGTATGCAGGGAATAAACAAATGTAATTGTTTCCAAGGATCTTAAAGAACATCAGAGTACTTGTTTAAGCCTTATGTCCCTTAGCACTCCACAGCTAAGTGACAATATGCTGGTATCAAATAACTAAACTATAAATCCTGGTCAAAGAGTAAATGAATGTGCTTTGGGGATTAAGAACTGTAAAGGCAATCTAAGAATTTTTATTTTGTGGGAGCTTGGTCTTAAACCCAAGATGGACAGATATACAGGTAATCCTCGAGTTATGACATGTTATGAGCTCAAAATTTATGTTGTTTATGTTGTTTATGTTTATGTTGTTAAGTGAAACATGTGTTAAGTGAGTTTGCCCCATTTTACAACTTTTCTTGCCACAATTGTTCAGTGAATCGTTGCATTTGTTAAGTTAGTAACATGGATTCTGGATTCCCCATTGACTTTGCTTGTCAGAAATTCAAAAAAGTTGATCACGTGATCTCAGGATTCTGCAATTATCATAGATATGAACCAGTTGCCAACCATCTGAATTTTGATCACATGACCATGGGGATGCTGCAAAGTCATAAGTTTGAAAAACAGCCATAAGTCACTTTTTTCAGTGTCATCGCAACTTTGAACAATCACTAAATGAACTGTTGTAAGTCGAGGACTACCTGTACAATGAAGTAGGTCTTCAGAAACCATACTTAATTCAGCAACAGTATACATTTCTCTTTGCCCATCACTTACATCACTAACACTGTCAAAACTGGCAGTGTCTGTAAAATGTTTGTGTTCCTACCTGAGAATTACCTGACATATACTTGCAGCAATTGTAAACTTCATGAAGAAAAAGGATTGGAGCAGAAAAATGGCCAGACTTCTTCAATTGCTGAGAGAAAAATGAACATTTGTCAGATTAAAAAAAAAAGAGGAGGCATTAGAACAGGAAGTAACTGTCAGCAAGGCACTCAAAGAAAGGAACAAGCTCAGTGGAGTTCAGCAACTATAAAAGGCAACGAGTCTGAAAAGATATGGAACACTTCTA